CCAGGCCTCCGGCAGGAGATGAGAGCAGCATGTCCGCCACCAGCTTCCTGACAGGGACAGCGACTGCTCCCACGCCCAGGGCTCCAGCGCACAGCTGCCCCGCGATAACCGGTCCCCAGAACTGGCCCAAAAGGCACAAGCCCCAAGGTAAGTGCCCTACTCACGAGGATACACTAAACTGTAGAACTCCCTGATCTTCAGAAGCCGGTCACTGAAGTATAATGTAAAACAGTGACATTTAGGTCAAATGCCCAATTCTAGGAGCTGCTTTCACCCTGGCCGGTGTGGCTCAGAGTAGTTCCCGTCCACCAAAAGGTGGTGGGTTCAGTTCCCCATCAGGGTGCATGCAGGAGGCGGCAACCCATCGATTGCCAGAATCCGTTTTTAAAATGCTAATGTCCCTGGAAATCATGAATGGTCAGAGTTGGAGAGCTGCAAACTGCCAGCTGAGAATGTAGGTTGCTACATGGTAGTGGTTCTCAGTTACAAGAACTCTTCCCATGGCCCAGGGACGTTGCCTTTCTGGTCTCCAATGAAGTAAATGAGAGTGAGAACGGAGAAGCAATTTCTACCTGCAGTGAGAGCAACGGCGTAATGTGTGAGTGAGCGAGAGGCACCTGGCTCCAAAAGCTGCCATCCACAACCCCGTGGAGGTTGTCCTCCAGAACTGACATTGTCTGTGGACGCTGGGTGCCCACCACGGCGGGCAGGCTAAAATTCGTGACGCAGCGTTGGTCCTGATGTGCAACGCTCGGCCTGCTCACACCTCCGGGCCCCGGCAGTTTGTCCTGGCTTCCCCTAACTCCAGCAGAGGCGTGCAGGTTAGAATTGTCCAGCTGGGCCGGCGTGGCTCAGTGGTTGAGTGTCCACCTATGAACCAGGAGGTCATGGTTCGATTCCCGGTCAGGGCACAGGCCCGGGTTTTGGGCCCGATCTCCAGTGTGGGATGTGCACGAGGCAGCTGATCAATGATTTCCACAATGACTAACACAGACTTTCTCAGAGGAACTCTTGTCCAGTTAAAAAGATCTGTTGGGAAATAGACCTTATACCCTCTACTTGATGATTCAAAGCACATGGTAAACTATACAGGATTTGACATCCTATAGAAGCTATTTTAAGCTACTTTACAGAAACACTTTGACCACAAAAGCTTCCCTAATGCCAGCGGTTCTCAACCTGTGGGTCACGACCCCTTTGGGGGTCAAACAACCCTTTCACAGGGGTCGCCTAAGACCATCGGAAAACATATATTTACATACTGTTGTTGTGATTAATCACTATGCTTTAATTATGTTCAATTTGTAACAAATTGGGGGTCACCACAACATGAGGAACTGTATTAAAGGGTCGCAGCATCAGGAAGGTTGAGAACCACTGACATATGTATTTAACCTTAGATGTCAAAACTCCAGAGGCACCTGCTCCGGGTGAGGGCGCACATCCTGCGGCTCTCCTATGTGCTGTCGGCCCTGCAGAGCCCACATCAAAGTTAGCTCTCGCCTGTGTCACCGAGAAAAAGCTGGCCAAGGTCATGGGATTGGACTGCTAATATTCTCCAATGTGCCCAACACCCTCTAGCATTCTCGATAGGAAAACAGAGGCTGTACGGAAAGGGTAAAAGCAAACATCTGCCAAAATGCAGTCTTACGACATAGGTGTTTTTATGTCATTTTGGGGATAATCATTAGTAATTTCTAAATTATCCTAGCTGTCGTTTACTGGGGACATACTATTAGATTGGGCTATTTTTGACTTATAGAAATGGCAATTTCATGTTTCAGCCTGATAAGATTTGCCCGGAGGAGAAATAATTTGGTCAAAACTCAACATCTGTAATCAGGTGTTGGCTTTCAATCCCTTGAAGCTGTGGAAGCTGGTCTCTGTGCCGCCTGCTGGGGCTGCTTCCAGCTGCAGGAAGCAGCCCATCTCCGCAGGCCCTGGAGCCTCGCCCAGAGCGGGGGTGTGCCGCCTGCCCCAGAGACATCCTTCAGGTCGGGGAACATTTGTCCTGCTGTTTTCAAGTGTTAATGATGAACAAGGAAGTATAAACAGGAACGGAGGACAAGAAAAGAAGTAACGGTTTGTACAAGTCACTAGTAAAAGTGGCCCTTGTGTTTGCAAACCTTGGGCATGTGCTTATTTCATGACTAAACTGATCAGTTTTGGAAGGATCTGGAAAAGCTGTGACCTTCTACTGTCCATTCTAGGAATAAGAGCCCTGCTTACACACACACACACACACACACACACTCAATGTGAACAAAGAGGAAAATTCCATTCTCACCCACTCTCCTGGAGTTTTCTCTGGCAAATGCAATCTCCAGTTGAAAAGGTTCTCCTGGGAAGCAAGAACCGCACTCAGGGACCAGTAGATTGTCTTAATCTGAGTGTAACTGAGGCTGCTGTCAGTAACACCACAAAGAGCAAATCGTTTCTCTAAGGAAATAGTGTTAGGGTTTTGGCCGGTGAGAGGGGCTGTGAAGAAATGCACAACTGAGAGAGGAGAGGGATGCAGAGAGAGAGTTTGTTTTACTTCCCCCGAAGGGAAAGGGCTGGTGCATCGCTAATTGGTCCCAGGGCGGGGAATAAACACTGGCCGCTCTTTTAAAGGGCGATGGCTGCTGTTGCTAGGCGACAAGGAAGGCAGGGGGACTTGGGGTGAGATAGGCAGGCAGATGTTGGAGGGAGGTGTCTTATCAGTGTCTGCCCAAGCCTGTAAGAGGTGCTTAGAGTGACAGTGATGAAGAGTTCAAAGAGGCTTGTTGGAGGAGGAGGAAGAGGAGGGAGACTCCTTGGTGTGATTACCCCTGAGCTGTGAAAATTGTCCCTGAGCGGGAGGGGATGGAGGGGAGGAGGGGGAATGTAGCCTTGAGGTAGCCGCTCCTGTCCTGCCCTTTGAACAGAGGGGCTGTTGGAATCAGAGGCGCCACAATCTCGGGAAATGACCAGGTGCTTTGATAAGTGGCGGAGGCCACAGCAGGAGAGAGGCTTCCCCTGTCCTCACGCCGACGGCACCACAGGAGAGCAAGCCCTTCCTCCTGCCGAAAGCCACCCTGTGTCTGCGCGTCGCCTCAGAAAGAAGTGGCCTCTTTTCTGTTATAGCCACTCAGTATCCTGCAACCAGGGTGGGCCCAGCTTCTCCAAAATGGGTGAAAAAACGATAAATTGAGCCACGTGACAAGGCCCGGAGGGGAACCGATTCTGTGTGCTCCGCGGAATTTAAATTCTGCTGGTGCTGCTACCAGGAAAGCACTAAGGGGAAGGAGCAAAAGCCACGGCAGGGAGACCGCTCCCCGGTGTGCTGGGGTTCTGAGGTTCTCGATTCCCCTTCGGGGTTGCTGGCTTTGGCTTCATTTCCATATTTAGATCTAGGAAGTGGAAGCCGTGTAAAGTCCTTAGGTGTGACATCCCATGAGCCGGGGAGCATGGTGTGCTGAGAAATGGGGGCGCGGTGAAAGGGTGGGTTGCCTCTAGGCACTGGGCTCCACAGCCAGAAGCGTCTGCTGGCCACTCAGGGACAATGACAGCCGTCCGGGCCTCAGGGCCGTCCGGGCTGTGACATCGGTCCCCGCCGCCCCTGAGCCCGCAAGTTCCAACAGGCGCGGCGGATCTTCCTTCCTTCCA